GGCCCTGGTGATGGGAAGGGGCCAGTGCCACCGCTGCGCCCCGCACCGCTCACGTTGGACTGCGGGTCCGTGCAGCACGGCGAGGTTCACTCTCCCCAGCCGCACCTCGGCCTGATCGCCCGACTTGCTAATCTAGTTGCAAATCTAATTAACGTGCCGTTTATTTTTAAATTAACTGTGGAGATATTAAATAAAACTGGACTTAGCAAGTCCCCGCTGAATTCAGCTGAAAACCTGTCTGCCCTCCTACGCCAGCTCCAGGCTTCACTGCCAGCTCTCGTGCCCGTGCCGGCATCCGGCCAGCCTGAGTTACTTACGAGAAGAATAACCAAATGCTCCCCTAAACCCTGATTATGGTACGCTCACTATTTTTCTTCGACCTCTGGCTTTTCAACAGTATCAGAAAACACCATCCAGCTCATGCTGCAACGTTTCATTTATATAATCCCAAGGTTTGGTAAGCCTCCAGGAATTATTTTCTTTTTTGTTGTTATTTTAGGGCCATTTGCCTGAGATGGTTAAAGATACTGCTTTGCAGAATGTTAGATTTTATTCCAGGAAGCAGACAGTTCATTTACGTCCTTAGACACGCGCATGAAACCGTGTGCTGTGCTGGGTTAGACTGAGACCAGAGGAAACACTGACAGAGCGGCTGACGCGTCCGTGCGGTACGTTAACGGAGTAAATTTGCGTGGCCATTGGAAGTTGTGAGATCTTACACCCAGATAAGCTGGGCTGCGGCTTCAACCTCCTCCCCTTGGCTGCCCTTTCTCCACGCAGCCCGCAGAGGCAACGTGCCGGCTGCTGTTCGGCTCCGCCGCGCGTACGGCCAAAGGCTTGCCAACGACAGGGCACAGGGAACACAGGGCACAAAACTTTCATGGGCTGCCCTTTAATGTAGCGAAGCATTTTTTTGGTAATGAAAACAAAAACATGAATTTTGAGGCCTTTGTGGAGTGCCCTGAGCTGTATTTCTTCACCAGCAAAATTACTGCTGGGGAAAGAAACTTGCAGAGTGTTGAAAGACTTAACTGCCACCCCAAAAACAGAGTGATGAATAGTTTCAGGATTTATTTGACGTTTTAGGGGGCTGCTATGTTCCAAGAACCAACTTCACTGCAGCACGTTGTAACGCTGCATGCGGAAAGCACTCCTGGTTCTCCCCTCTCGCCGGCATGAACCATACCTGCAGAAAGCCCATCAGAACATGCAACGCTGGGAGAGCAAAACGGGAACTCAAATGGCAGCTTCGAAAGGAAAATTCACCCCACAGGGTCACTCATCCCGTGTGAGGCTATGGAACAGGGCATGGTGACCGGGGCAGCTCCACAAGCCCCACCAGCACTCGCCGTGCTCAGCGGACGGGTCCTGGGCAGCCAGAACGAAATGCCGCGTGGAGAAGCACGGAAGCCAGAGGCACACAGGCTGTCAGAGGGCCAGCAAGTCAGTGAGCGCGAGGGGACAGGAATGGTTTTGCACTGCGCAGACTCGTTGATGTCCAACCAGAAATCAGGCACCAGCCCGGCTGGTGGCCTCGGGCAGCTGCTCCCGCCGGCGCTCCACCGTACGTGACGTGAGTTAAAGCCATGGGGACTGCTGTGGCTCTCCGATCGGGCAGTGGTCACCCTGAAAACGGTTGGGTTTACCAGCGGTCGTGGTGCCCAGTGCTGTACTGGTGGACAAGCTGGGTAATGACACAAAACTGATGACACCAAACTGGGAGGAGTGGTGGATACACCAGAAGGCTGTGCTGCCATTCAGCATGACCTGGACAGGCTGGTGAGTTGGGCAGAGAGGAACCTGATGAGGTTCAACAAGGGCAAGGGCAGGGTCCTGCACCTGGGGAGGAACAACCCCATGCACCAGTACAGGCTGGGGGGTACCTGCTGGAGAGCAGCTCTGCAGAGAGGGACTGGGAGTGCTGGGGGATGACAGGTTGACAATGAGCCAGCAGTGTGACCTGGCTGCCAAGAAGGCCAATGACATCCTGGGGTGCATTAGGAAGAGTGTGGGCAGCAGGACAAGGGAGGTTCTCCTCCCCCTATACACTGCCCTAGTGAGGCCCCATCCGCAGTACTGTCCAGTTCTGGGCTCCCCAGTTCAAGAAAGATGAGGAGCTACTGGACAGAGTCCAGCAGAGGGCTACGAGGACGGAGAGGGGACGGGAGCATCTGTCCTACGAGAAAAGGCTGAGGGAGCTGGGCTTGTTTAGCCTGGAGAAGAGAAGGCTGAGAGGGGACCTTAGAAATGCTTATAAATATCTGCAGGGTGGGTGTCAGGAGGACAGGGCCAGACTTTCCAGTGGTGCCCAGCGACAGGACAAGGGGCAACGGGCACAAACTGAGGCACAGGAAGTTCCGTCTGAACATGAGGAAGAACTTCTTCCCTCTGAGGGTGACGGAGCCCTGGCCCAGGCTGCCCTGGGAGGCTGTGGAGTCTCCTTCTCTGCAGATATTCAAGACCCGCCTGGACAAGGCTCTGGGTGACCCTGCTTCGGCAGGGGTGTTGGACTGGGTGACCCACAGAGGTCCCTTCCAGCCCCAAACATTCTGTGATTCTGTGATTCTGTAACGGTGTTTTCAGGAGGCTCTTGCATACGGCACATGGGAATGGTCCTTCCAGTGACGTTTGCGAAGAGGTGGGAGCCATGGGACAACACAGACGAGGCAAAAAGAGCCGCACTTGGATGCCACAGCGATAGACGAGTCTGAGCAAGGAGCACTCCCTCAGCGTTCCCACCTTTTGCAACAGATGCCTCACTTTCTGGTCTAAAACACTCTTAAAAGTTATTCCCAAGATTTGATTTCCAGACCGGGAGCAGACAGAGCTGGGGTCAATCCAATCAATCCAAGCCTAAGGATGGCAAGCTCGCCTCTCCGTTGCCTCCGCCTGCATGGCCAGCTCCTGCCGTGCTCACGCCATCTCCTCCCCGCCGCCTGTCCCTCCTGCTCGGTGGGACCTGCCCTGCCGCCACCGTCCTCCCTGCTGGCCACATCCC